TTCTGGGACTTATCAATAGGAAGTTTGTTATACATTGCTAAGAGAACAGGTTTATGATCAGTTATATACGTTGAGGACAAAAACTTTGGATGTTCGCTTTGTTTTTAGAACAATATGGTCAAGGCAATTATTATTACGAGTTGGTAAAAAATGAGCTGGAAGCAATCCCAGCTCAGCAGTCAAGTTCAAATAAGAAGCTGCATGCTTATCATCTGTGTTTAATTTTATATCTATGTTGATGTCTCCTATAATGGTTATATTTTCAACCTTATAGAGCGCAGATATAGTGGACTCTAATGACACTAAAAAATTATCCGTTGAACAGAACGAAGAGGATCTGTATAATGCAATAATTGCTGTATTTTGCCCAACTTTTATTACTAAGCAATTTGCATCTAAAAAGTCTGGTTCTTCGACAGAACATAGAAGCCCAACTTTTGCATACACAACTATACCATCGTTTTGATTATTGCATCGTTTAGAATAGTGAAGATTGTAGTTTTTGAGTTGAGGGGGAGGTCTTAAGTAAGATATCCAACTTTCCGTAAGAATTATAAAATCACATTCGAATCCCAGTCTAGAGAGAAGGACTTCAAATTCGGGTAAGTTTTTGTGAATACTTCGGATATTAAGAGTAATAATTTTCAAACAAGAGCTAAGGCTGTTTAATTTAGCAATACATTCTTCTGGGTTTATTGACATAGATTCTGCAATGCTGACATTGTCTATATCAGCTTGAAATTCAAGTAAATTAGCCATTTCTATCTAATAAGTTGGGGTAAAGTCGAGAGGTAAATTTAGGCTTAAGATTTCTACCACTAATAAAGATGTTGCTTATACTAATATTGCTGATTAAGCTGATGGAGTGGTAATTTTGAAAATATGTGTAGTGTAAAATGATTGATGGTTGATAGTTAATATTAAAATAAGGAGTGGATTTGCAATAGTACGAGTGTATAGCTAATGCAGTAATTTTTTTGTTACTGGTGTAAAGTAATGATGATCTAAATTGGTGGATGCAACAAAGAGCACTAGGATGTGGGTGACATATATGATGGTTCTTAATGAGAAATATAAGTTGACACAATGGAGATAAAATTATTACTTTGATAAATATTTTTCCAAAGACGCATATGATATCAGTGACATTAAAATAGTAAGGTTGAATTACACATAAAGATTTTTTACTTCTGCAAGAGTTTTGATTTTTTAAAAATGTTACACAATTCAAGCTCAATTTAGTAAGACTATGAAAAACGTAGACAGTATCATTTAATTGTTGGACTAGAGTGTGATTTAGAACACAACATTGTTTTGGGACTGTAGAGTGAGAAGCGAAGATATTATATATGTAGAGAATTATATTGTATATAAAATATATAGATCTATTAAACGGAGATCTAGTTATTAATTTACGAGCACACTTACTGAAACGTATAAAATATAGACCAAGACTTGTATGGTTGTTTGCTAGTCACGGTTCTACTTTCAAAGCTTCGATATGATCTTCACTTCTTATCTGGATAGCAGGTTTTCCATCGGATTTTCTTATATATACTACTCCTCCATTTGCAGTCCAACAAAACTTGAAGTTCTTTTCTTTTGAGAGGGTGCGGGCAAGATAAAATATTTTTTTTGCATTACTTGTGAGATGCTCGGAGATATATATATTATTTAAAGTATAGTAATTGAATGGTATATTTATTAGAACCTATCAAGCCGTTTGACTGAACGAGAGAATAAAATATGTAGTTATTATAACTTTACCTCTTTTACGTACATGCTGCACGTCAAAATACAAAACCTTCATTCACCACAAAAAAAATGCTTGGTCTTCTTAAAGAAGCATGATCACACGTCACAAAAGATGATTGGATCAATTTAGTAGAAAGAACAAAGAAAATTATAGCGAAAGACTTTAAAAGAGACGTACATTTTGACAATTTGATTGAAAGTGAATCTATTATAAGGTTAATCGATGAAGACAGTTCAACTGATAATAATTTTTTTGGAACTTCCAGAGACAAAAATGAATAAAAATGTTACGAATTCAGTGAATTTATTTATTTAACTGATCCAACCACATTTATTTATTGTTAATTTTATTCTTGACTAGCGACCCGCCTCGGCTTCGTACGGGTGTATATCAGTGGCGTGCCTACATAATATACAATGTATGTCGGGTTTTAGTTTATGTCTTGGCTTTAAAACTAGCCCAAATTTAAACATAGTTTGTATTATGTACTAACTGTTAAATATTACAAACTCGTACATGTATTAAAACGATATGCCTTTAAAATCAATTTTAAACTATGTAGATACATTGTCCATTACAAACTTTAAATAATCGTTATGTCTCGAGAATCGGTTTTTAAAGCAACCAATTTTTTTCCCATCATTACACAAAGTATTTTTATAGCTGTGAAATCAGGCTTCTTAGATTGTCACGAGTATAATATAAACCTTATGGTCAAAAATAAATAAGTTTAGTAACACCAGTATTTTATTTTTTTAAATGTTGTTAATATATGCAATAACATATAACAATAATTTGCTTAATAAAACATGATTTCCTTTTTACAATTTCCTTTACACCTATCATTTGAATTATTACTGATAAAGCTTGATTTTTTTGTGGCGGCCACACTATCTTAATTGATTTACGTAAAGATTTGGCCTAAAGGTCTAGATACCAGGCCATAAACTCCAAAAAAAAAAGAACGTAAAGCAGCTAAAAATTCAATGTTCCAGAGCCGCTATAAATAAAAAAGTATTGTTTCATAAATCAATAACTAGATGGCGGTAGTTTAATCTACAGTGAAATTTCTTAAAAGATACAATAGCAGCCGCCGCCTGAGTGATATGTTAAAAAATAGATTCTATTACATGCCTCTATATAAATTCATCAAAAATACAGTGGGGAAATTATAATAAACCGAATAAAAATACTCAAGACTTGGCCTAAAGGTCTAGATACCAGGCCATAAACTCCAAAAAAAAACAATTCAATGTCAGATAATTGCATCATGCATAAACCATAAATTCAAAACAAACTTACAAATTTTTTAACTCAAGTAAAAGTTAAAATGATAGTTGTTGCGGATATGTCTGCTAAGGAAATAATTAATGATTTTAAAGAAAATTATGGAAAAGTCCGGAAACTGATTGATGAAGATAGTAAAAATGACCCCGAGAATGAACCTTACATGTCTAAATACAAAGCAAAAGAGATCTTGTTAAACATGCAGAAATCTCTTACGAAAGTCTCTATTTCTGAGTCTGGTTTTGATAAAATAAAACTTGACGCAATGCTTGGTACCGTCCTTGTGAATATTGGAATAATAGACATGGAAACAGAGGAACTGACATCTAGTGAAAAGATTCTAACTGAAGCGGAGGAGCTATTGATGCCCAATTCAACGAAACCTGAAATTGTCAAAACTCTAATAAGTGTTTATAATAATTTAGGTATTTTATGGTCTAACAGAGATGAGCCTCAAAAAGCTAAGGCATATTTGTTGAAAGCGAAAGACTTGTATGAAACATTCAAATGTACTCTACAAGTACCTCTTCCAATAGAACAGGTTATAAACAATGCTGGTGAAACTTCTGCAGAAGATTTCATTTTATTAGAAAAAGCACATACATTAACTTTATATTATTTGGCTCAAGTGTTTGGATCATTGAAAGAAAACTTAAAATCCGCTATTTATTGTCATGTAACATTGAGGAGGCAGTTGCAGTATTCTGATTATGAACCAATAGATTGGGCTTTAAATTCGGCAACATTGTCACAGTTTTTTGCTGAACAAAATGGTTTCTTTCAGTCTAGACATCATTTAGCTGCAGCATCTGTAATTCTTGATCAATATCAGCAGGATTTGCAAGAGTCTGAAAGTAATGATGATGTGTATTTAGCTAAAGTAGAAACATTTAAGCACAGATCTGCTGATGTGTCTAGGTGTTGGGCAAAGTATTGCCTTTTGCTTATGACTGCTTCTAAAGCCAGGCTAATGAATGATGCAGAAAGAGTAAATGATGCAATAACAGGTGAGCTGTACAAACTTAGTTCTAGTTTGTATTAGAATACCTAAAAGTAATTTAAAGATGTGTGGGGTTTGGGTTGATGTGGAATCTAGTAGGAGGACTTATATAATTCATGAGCAAGTCATACAATTGTATAAAATGAATTTGTTTTCACTCAACAATTCGTGTAATGTCTTTGTCTCTGTAGTGTATAATTTTGTTGTCTATCCTTATGTCACATTATGATTTCTAATTTTTGATCAAGTAATGATGTTAAATATAGTTTATATTTGACATCAATCTAAATTTTAAGACACAAAATGTTATAATTTCATAAATTATTACCACCTATAAAAGTCCTCTGCTGAACATAGGCCTCCCCCATAGATTGATTCATATCATATAAAATTTCGCCATAGTTGCCACGCTTGGCAGGTGGGTTTTCAAGCACAGTTTTATTTTGAGATGTTATCAGCAAAATGCTGCTACCTCTCACCTCTTTCAATTTCCCTCTATCGCCTCTTATGACACCCATGGGACAATATTGGATTGGAGATAATCTTACACCGCCACTACACGGTTATATATAACTGTATTTCTCCCATATTAAAATAGGGATTTATGTTTTTTAACTTTTTATATTTAGTGAAATATTCTTAGATAAAAAAGAAATTTTTCTTTTAAAAAATGATACATAACACTAGGATTTTCTTCTGTATCGTGGAGGCAGTTTACAAACACAAATTGCACAAGGAGAAACATCCAGACCCGGAACAATTATTTGTAGGCCATACAAATACTTGTTCCGTGCGGGATTCAAACCCACAGCCCCCAGTGCAGCAACTCATTGCTAAGCCACTGTGCCACGGAGCTGTTTTCTAATAATGAGGAGATTGTACACACCACTAATTATTATTATTAGCTATAGGGTTTAGTTTTCCAAAAATCAAGCTATTTAGTAAGTCTAGTATCTATATAATCATTATGAGGAGTACCTCATAATGATTATATGCTTTAATTACAATTCAAGTACACAACAAATAAAAAGTATGCTGTGTTGCCAGGAAACCGCTGTGTTCAGGTCATAGATATATTTAATGTTTGTTATATATATATGTATAGAAATATTTAATGTTTGTTAATAAATGATAAGGAGAGATCATAGTTTGGTGACGTTTGTTTCATAAAATGGACTGCTGTGATACAACCAGTCAAGTGTGTATTTTTGAAATGATTGGGGTTTTTTTTAAAATAAATGCTACTTACATGTGGTAGAGCCACTCTGCAGTTATATTATGGTTGTAGTGCAAACGGGTTGGCTCGACCGCAGAAGGAATTAGGCAATCCATCTTGGTCCTAATAAGTGACAACACAACATTTTGATTACTAATAAAATACATATGTAGATGTCTATGGATGACAACATCCACTTACTATCAGGTGGACTGTGCTTGTTTGTCACCCTTATTCTATAAGAACAAAAAAGTTGGTTTACTTTTCTTAATAATCTGAATAATAATATCATAGTACTGTCTTGCCACTCAATTTTGCTGTATTTACCCTGGGTACCTTACCATTAATAATAATATGATAAAATTATTATTAATGGTAGGGTACCCTTGTTTGCCAGTGTTTTATTAAACCTAATTCATGGGGTTTTCTCTTATTTCAGATATGTCTAATTTGGAACTAGAGGACAGTGAAAATATTTGTGGTGGAGATATGAAAAATTTAATTTTCCCCAATTTAGATGTAAGAAAGTACGAAAGTAAAGTTACTGATAAATTTTTACTTACATACCAGGATGCACGTGAGGTGTTCCTAAATTGTCAGACGTGGCTGAACAAAGCTAAAGAGTACTACAAATTGGAATCTCTAGCTTCTGATTACATAGAATTAATACAGGATAGTTCTCAGTCATATGCGTACCTTGCTTTCTTTGAAGAGGATGACGAAAGAAGAGCAAAAATGCACAAAAGACGTATAGATATGCTCGAAGATTTGATTAAAGAAATTAATCCAACATACTATATGCAGTTTTGTCGACAATTGTGGTATGAATTGGGAGAAATTTACTCTGACATTTTAAACATAAAATTGGATAAACTCAATAAAAGTAAAGAGAAACCTACGCCACACTCATTGAATAAAATTAACATGTTATGTGAGAAAAGCATTGAAAACTATGACCATTTCTTAGATTCTGTTAAGGATAAGAACGGGAAAATGCCTCAAAAACTGGAATACGATTTAATACGTCCTGTTATAAGCACATATGCCTTCATAGGTAGAAACAGTATGAAAAGGATTGCAGTAGATAAGAGCATACAATTGAGTAATGTAAAGAAAAGCTATGATTCATATCAAGCCGTAGTTGATATTTGTAAGAATGATGAGGAGGCAGCTGCCATGATGCATGAGGAGTTCAGCTTGTGTCAAGAGATGGTAAATATTTTGCCAATAAAAATCAAAAGGCTTGAAAATGAATTAGTCTCATAGATAATGTTTAAAAAAGAGAAAAATTACATGCTAGTCTGTAGCCATCGATGGAATTCACATGAGATTTAAATCAGTTTCACACTCTTTGTACACTCCTAGTAAGAAAAAACGAACTATAACCTAAGTAAGTAAGCAAAAGGATTTTTCCATAATTATATATTATAGGTAGGTATATATTAATTACGACCGTTTTATAAAAAATATCGTAAAATAATATTCATATGTTAATCTCTACTATGTTTATAATTATACAACAATTTGAGCTACTGTTAATGCTTGGTGATTTATATACACACACATCTCATAATATATTAAAATGTCGTTTAACCTCTCAGACCTTGATATTTTATTGGACAACTTAGTCAGAACTGTGGTCAAGCCAAAGAGTATAGTAGGTCAGGCCAAACACAATTGGACATAGTTATACAAAAACGTTCCAACCCACAAGTCATTCATCATCGTCACGAAGATGTCAAAATAAGTAGATCTGTATATTTAACTCATTTTTGATTGTTTCTCCCATGACTGACTTGACATTGGCAGAATTCTTTTAAGAGAAGCCAAAAAGTAAAGAATAAGCAGAACTCATTTTTGAATGACTTGTGGGTTGGAACGTTTTTGTATAACTACGTAAAAAATTTTTAATGATGATAAATATAACTCAGAGTCATTAGGTACTATGTTCTTACCCAAAAATAAAAAAAAATATTAACAATTAAAATATCGAATTATTTGTATGAAGGTCAAGTGAGCGCTATAGTAACGACGATTTGTCGATAAATGAAATATTTTGAAAAATTATCAATTACCGTGTAGAGGCGTAGTTCATTTTGTTTGGTTAAACAGGAGTAACAGAGAAAATAGTACGGTGGCGGCCCAAAGGAACAACGTTATTTTGGAACTTTTTCACCGTGATTTTATTTATCACTCATGTCTAGAGGCGACAGAGGGAAATAAATCAGGAGATGGGTTGCAGCGTCTTCCTACAAACGGCTATTATTATTATTATAATATTCATTTTGTTCTGCAATGTTTCTAGAACAGCTTAATATTTGCTTGTACCATTCTAATGCCGAAAGGTTCTCCCAATCGGCACCAAACTGTTTTGTTAATAGACTGGTCACATCATTTTTCTTTGCAGCACTGAGTCCTCGGTCTTCCTGAATTTGTTCTATATTTCTGGGGTGATGTTTGCCCCTTTTCAGTAGTGATATAAACGGTTCTCCGGACTCAAATCTATAGTTTGGTGAAGCTTTTACTACACAGTTCAATTGTCTGCCCTGAGAAGACTTGTACTTCTTGATTATAATTTTTTTCATGGATTGTATGACCACAAGTTTTTTATCCTCGGAATCCTCGGCGTCAACATATCAAGTGACGTGCAGTTTCGTGGTCACTTGGAAGAGAAGGCCAAATTGGCCTCTAAAAAGCTTGGCGTGCTCAGCAGAGCGGGACAGTATTTCATGCCAGCACACTGCCTGCAACTTTACAAGGCGCAGGCTCGGCCTCACATGGAATACTGTTCCCATCTCTGGGCAGGGGCTTCCCAGTGCCAGCTCCTTCCACTTGACCGCATCCAACGCAGAGCGGCTCGAATCGTCGACGACCGAGTCCTTTCCGATCGGCTCGATTCATTGGCACTGCGAAGAGATGTTGCATCCCTTTGCATTTTCTTTCGCATTTACCACGGGGAGTGCTCTGAGGAATTGTTCGGATTAATTCCAGCCGCCAAATTTCACGACCGCACATCGCGGCAGAACTCCCGATACCATCCACACCATCTGGATGATTGGCGGTCCACCACTGTGCGATTTAGAAGATGTTTTCTTCCTCGCACGACTTCCTTGTGGAATCGATTACCATCAGCTATTGTTCCGGACCGATACGACTTAGGGACCTTCAAGAAAAGAGCCTACTCCTTTTTAAAAGGCCGGTAACGCATCTGCAATTCCCCTGGTTCCCCTGGTTTTGCAGTTGTTCATGGGCGGCGGTAGTCACTTACCATCAGGTGAGCCGCATGGTCGTTTTCCAATCTCCTATAAAAAAAATACCCTTTTCATTACTTTCTTTTTCCCATATAGGAATATAGGAATAATGAAGTACTTAACTTTCGAAGCTTCGTTTTACCAGAAGGACGTGGTGTGCCTTTGCCTCTACGTTGGGGTTCAAATGCACTAATAAGACGACATAAATACACGTTTTTGTGAACTTTTCTGGATGTTGAATAAAAGTTTTTACGGTTTCGAAACACATCCCGTTGCAATACAATAAAAATTGCTTTTTGGTCCTTGATTACACGTACATTGAATTCTTAAGCACAGCGGGTCATTGTCAACGTATCTAAAACAAAATTATGCACATATTGTAATCTTGTAACATATTGAACATTCTACATGCTACACGAACATAATAGAACGAACTTACTTATTGTTTCTTTTGGATAAAGCTTTCTTTTCTCGACGTTTCTTTTTCTTCGCTCCACTATTGTGTCCACAAACAGTATTTGACTGCTCAGACATGCTTGTAAATCACTTGAAAAAACTTTAAATAACTCAATTTAGATATTTTGCACTTGCAGTTCCCAATTTTCTTTAAATACTAGAATACTTTAATAGGAGAAAGCGGACTCGTTCGCGTCTTTCTTTGCGTACAATTCACGTCTGGACAGTGGCAACAACGTTCCACTAAAATTACCTCAATGCGGGACATCTATGTCGGAGATTCGTATAACAAATAAGAAGGTTCTTAAAACCTTGCGGTGTCTAGACGTGAATAAAGCTAGTGGACCAAATGGTATACCAGCTATAGTTCTAAAGGCTTGTGCACCTGAGTTGTCTGTAAGATTATGGAGCGTATATTGAATGCCCGCTTAATGGCATACCTAGAACAGAATGACCTCCTTAGTGACCGGCAATATGGATTATGCCGAAATCGGTCAGCTGGGGACCTCCTAGCGTATGCCACAGACGTATGGGGCGAGGCACTCGAGAACAGTGGGGAAGCACTTGCTGTTTCCCTTGATGTCTCGAAGGCCTTTGACAGAGTTTGGCACACTAGCCTTTTGGTTAAGCTTCCAGCGTATGGCTTATCCCCTGGTCTGATTGAATGGGCAAAGGACTTTCTGAGTAAACGGGCTCTCCGCGTCGTCGTCGATGGCTGCTCATCTGATCCTATGGCGACTAACGCCGGTGTTCCTCAGGGGTCCGTTCTCTCCGCAACTCTCTTCCTGCTGCATATTAATGATCTGATTATGCCCGGTATCTATGGGTATGCAGACGATAGCACAGTTGTTGAGAGATACCTCGGGCCAGTCGGGATCAAATCCAGTCCGAAAGAGAAGCTATGGTAGAGCGTGTGAATCTCACACTACAGGCAGTCTCCAAATGGAGCGATGCCAATATTGTGAAGTTCAACGCCTCCATAAACACAAGCGTGTCTCTTCACTGCAAAAAGGAGTCAGCTCACCTTAGCTCTTTCCTTCCGAAATGTATCACTGAAATATACCGACTGCTTTCAGTTGTTAGGGTTTGAAATATCCTCTAATTTGAACTTCGGGCGGTTCATTGAGTCCAAGGCCATAGCAGCTGCAAGGAAACTGGGAGTCTTTGCAAAGGTGCGGCGATACTTCACGCCGGGATAGCTGCTTACTTTATATAAAGCGCAAGTCCGGTCCTGCATGGAGTATTGCTGCCATATATGGGCTGGTGCTGCAAAATGCCACCTAGCAGCTTTGGATCAATGAAAAGGCGTGCTAAGAGGCTTATTGGTGACCCGAATTTGGTTAAAACCAATCTTACCAGCCTCGAACACAGACGTAAAGTAGCCAGCCTTTCGGTTTTCTACAGGATGCATTTCGGAGAGTGTGGCGCAGTAATCGCATAATTTAATTCCTCCCTCTCCCTTCTACCATCGGACAACCAGACTTTCGGCCAGTCGTTGTTTTTGACTTACCACGCATTCGAACCAAACGGTTCGCCACGTCGTTCATCATACGTACAGCAAAGGAGTGGAATAAGTTGTCTTTCCATCCGATTACAGTGTGGGTGTCCTCAAGGCAAGAGTGAATAGGCTTTTGTTAAGTCAGTGCGCTTCACCATCTTAGGCTACATCACCACTTACCATCAGGTGGGATCGTAGATAAGCGCTGGCTTAGTAGAATATTAAAAAAAAACCAAGCGAATATGACCGACCACCAATATTTTGACATTGACTTAAATCTGTAGTCATGGGACATATGTCAACCAAACAGCGTAACCATAGACAAATAATGTACTTTTTACGGCTTCAGCACCCTAAGATTTAAGCGAATAAAGCGTTCAAAAGTCGATAAGTTATTTTTACATGGAAATATCCTGTTTTGTACCTACTTTCAATCTGCACACCAGAAATGTATGAAATGTATCATGTTTTGTTCCGATTTTGTTTATTAATATTTTTAAACATGGAAATGTCATGATTTGCTTCAAACTTTTAACTTCAGAGGCTGTTTACTACAGGAATAAGCGCGATTTAACCACACCAGCCTAACGGGTGACGTAATTTATGGTATTCTGTCGAATATCATTGGTAACTTTTTTTTACAAAAACTCGAATTATCATGTTTTGTTCCGTCACTCCTCAAATATAATTCTTTAAAATTTTAACCTAGCAATGATACAACATAAATAAACAGAGACTTTATGTAGACTACTTGGAAAATAAGGATAAAAAATATGTCACGGCTGTGCATCGCACGGACGTCGGTTGGCACGGTAAATATACCACGCAGTTGTATTTCCATTTACGACAGTTACTGTTTTTATAATTATAGTTTTTAAAATTAATATAATTTCTTCCTAAAACCTTGACCTTGCCAATATACTTAACTGGTCCAATAGGTTTAGTGTTCTCGTTAATTCTTTCAAATCCCAGGCAATAATAATAAGTAGCCCTCGTCGGTTGAGTACACTGTTCTTCCCATCATTTTTTATAGTTCAATTATTCCCTACTCTCCATATGTTAAGGATCTAGGCCTTATCATAGACAGCTGGTTATCTAGGGTTTCTCATATAATGAATGTATATCAAAAGGTTACAAATACGCTCGAATATATTTATTCCGGTTTAAAAGTTTTCTTTATAAACTTTCTAAATTTTCTTCAAAAAAGTTGAAGTTGATCGATCGACGATACAAACGTTTCATCCGCGACAAATTTCCTAACTGGCCGATGATATTAGCTTCAATGCGAGGGTAGCTGGATATTTTTGTCCAACCTGAAGCGTTTGATTGCGACGCAGTGATAGCGATGGTATGGCCTACAACATTTGTCCTGGGTCTGTATGTTTGTCCATTTGCAATTTATGTATATTAAATGCCTATTCAATACAAAAGCAACCATTAGTGTTAAGTTTTGGTAAAATAAAATGTAATTATTTATCACTGATTGTACAGTGACATTACCGCTGAAGCAATATGAATTTTCCACTGTTTAAATTTCTTGCAGTCTGCGTTTTGAATTTCTGCTATAGCCGAATATTGAGAAATAAGGGTTTACAATCAAAATGACGATTGTTATTAAATATTTTTTTCTTAATATGTATAGGTGAATAAAATGTTTTTGTAAACTTTATTTCCATTGAGTACACTGCCATGGTTACCGACGTAACACTGGTTAATAATTAGTATGACGCTGGAATATTCGAAAAAGTGTAA